TCGGCTGCGGGGTGTGGGGGGGCATCGAGGGATGTGGCGATCGAAAAATGAAGGTCCAATTTTAAGGAGACACTAGCACTAGAGTAGCATGAAAGAGAGACTGCTCACTTGGGACAATTAGAAATTGCCAGTAGTCAGTAGTCAATTGCCGTAGGATGGATCCCAATTCACAGCCAGTGCGGTCACCCTCGATTGTAGAAACTGATCCTGTTTCAAGAAAGTTGTGGCTGCAGATTTTCTGTCCCCTTTTGGGTTATCTCCAGTCATCCAAGCTTCGTCATCGTCCTGCTCCAAGGCTGCTGATCTTTGGCCTGCTGTTCGCTGTCTACACCGGTGCCTGCAAGAAGGTGACTCCCGAGGACATGGCACGCCGGCACGCCGGCACGCCACGCGAAAAGTGGCTATCTTTAGTTCCAAGATCTTTGGCATTCAGCAATTTTTGACGAACATATGTTGTTCTTAGGGTCCTGAAGTATTTGAAGAGTGATCTATTCGTGTAGACTGATCAGAGGAGTTAACTAGTGTTGCCTTCAGAGACAGTTGAAACTTCAAAGGTGACTTGCGGTGGAAAAACTTTTCAGAAAAACTTGGTAGTAGATGGGAAAGTGCATGGTGTCCTGCAGTCTTGCCCCTGAATTCCAACCATTGTTTGTTTGACACTTCATCCTTGGCTTTCTTTAAATCAATACGTTTTGCTTGGTCGTCCTGAATTTTGCTGGCTAAATTTCCATTTCTCCCAGCTCTGCTCTGCTTTTCTGGCAAGTTGAGTGCCGATTTTTGGTGGGAACAAGTCATTTTCTTTGTTAAATCCAAAACCACCAGCAATAAGGAGACCATGACAAACCGCACCAAACCATCCAAAACATTCACCAAATCGAAAAAAATCCCCATAAGTTGCCGTAAATCTCCACAAAATCCCCATAGAATTCCCATAAATCTCCATAAATCTCAATCAAAGTCCCATAAATCTCCGAATTCCCATCAATTTCCCTAAAAATCTAACAACTTCCCATTAAAACTCCAAGAACCCCTCGGGCGCCAGGACGACGATGCAGCCCCCGCCCCCAAGGACGCCTGGACGGCCACGCCGCCACCCAGCCATGCCTCACCGCGCCCGGCGTCGCCGGATGCACTGGCACCCATGGTGGCTACGGCACCATGGCGGGGGATAGAATGGGAAGATGAGCATGTTGATCCATGTTGGGTTAAGAATGTGAAGTTGGTAACCATGAATTCCTCCATTTCCCAACTAAAATCTAAAAAACATATATCTTGACATGATTTTTCCTATAGAGACTGCCATTCAGAGTGGTTTGGAAGACCTCTGTTTGAACTCTGCGTTTCTCAGGGTCTCTGTTACTTGAGGGATGGTAAATTGAATTCAACAGAGAAACTAACCCCCTTTGTGGGGCAATTTATCAACAAGAAACGTTGATTTAAGCTAGACCCATGGACAATGCTTTGGGATTTGATCAACAGAAAATGGGGATTCAAACTGCAAAAAGGAAATTTTATCAAAAGAACATGGGGGTTTAAGCTGCACAAAATGGGTGGTTGAAGCTACTTCAATCAAAAGAAATAGGGAATTTTATCAGAAATTGGAGGAGATTATATAAACTGTAGAAATGGGAATGCTTCAGATCAAGAGAAACGGGGGAAGCTGTAAACTGTAAACAATGGAACTTAAACTCCAAAAACCAGGATTTCACCTGACAAAAACAGGGATTGAGCTCGAAAAACAAGTGATTAGCTAGTCTACACAACCACGCAAATATGGGAACTTGACCAATGCACATGAATTTCAACTTCCATCGTCGCAGATGTAGCAGAGAAACTGCTAGGAATGTTGGAGATATTTTGTTGCCGCACCTTGGAGGTTCACCCCAGGAATTCCAAGTAGTTGAAATTTTATTCTTAATCTGGAGTGTAAGTCACTGTAAGTCCCCTAAATAGTTATATTATCCCATTGATATCTTGGGAAGCTCATTTTTTAGTGACTCCATCGATCTCCATCCACCTCCATCCCTCTTGGCCCCAAGGGCGCCGCGGACATTTCCTTCGTCACGGGGTTGCCTTGGGAGGCCAAGCGCGCCAGCAGCCGTGAGGAGCGCTCGCGGCCCAGCAGCAGAGAGGCGCGCAGCAATGATGCCCCACCAGTGGAGACGGTGGAGACCCTCAAAACGCGAAGCTCACGATCCAGGTGAAATGGGATGGGATGGTGAGATTTTTGACATTTTTTGGAATGTTTTATAGGGTTGACTTTCTCAACTTTCTGATGAATGATGGAAAAGGTGAATCCCTTTTCCCACTGACCCCGGGCAGGTCCCCAGAGGCTCCAAAGGAGCAGTACCTGGATAGTGGCCTTGATGGTGATGCTGGACAGACTACTGGAGCGTTTTCACCGGGGATGCCAGCACAGAAGGAAACTGTGACCTTTATGGTTGATCAACAGCAGGACTTCAGAGTTTGGGTGCAACAGGATTTGCCGACACATCCTTTGCCACAAAATACCACAGTGTATCCTGGCACGATTCAGTACGACTGAGTCGAGATCTTGAGCCATTTTCTTGAGGCAGCCTGGAACAGGAGTGCCTTGAGCCGTAGCCAAAGGCCTTAATTCACACATTTCAAAATGCACTGTCAAGCGGGGTCATCTGGACTATGTCATTTTTGATGTTTTCTAGTGGGAATTTTCATGCTGCGAACGAATACCTCGGACTTTGCTGGCCCAGCGATGCTAATCTAACCGGCAATCCATCCCTCAAATGTGGCGTGTGGAGCTGTGTTGAGCGGCCACAGGGTGCCTCGAATGAGGCCCCTCAGGGCCATAATTATTGCATTATTTATCCTCTTCCCCTAAAGATTGGACTCACCCGGGCCCCTAAAACTGGCCCAGATCCAAAATCCAATACAAAATAAGCATTATTTTTTTCGAGTGAATATTCCGGGGAAGGAGTTATTGCGTTCATTGCTCTTCACCGCGCAAAAATGTGGAGTTCTGAGCGGCACGATTCCTGGGGTCCTGCGGCAGTGTCCGTGGGACAGAGACCAAGCGATTCCCCGTGAGGTGACCTCCGCCCTGGAGATTCCTGAGCGACGGATTCCATGGGGACATGCAATGGCTGCACTGACTCAAGGTTTCATGGAACACTTGGTTTATCTTGGTTTCATGCCAATCTAAGAGATGATTTTTTATTGCGCATCTCGAATCCGAGAAATCACTGAATCATGAGGCATCACGGCATCACAGTCACTGACTCTTGAGATCAAGATTGCTAGAAAAAACCGGGACTTGGGATTTGGGTCAAGCGGTCGAGTCGGTGGGAAACCAAAAAAAATGGCATCCATAAAAATGGGTATTAATGAAGCTCAACATTTGGCAAGAAAAGAGTGATTTTTTTTTCTGATTTTTCCAAAATGTTGTTTGTTTGGATGTAAAGATTGTAAAGTAAGCTGTGGTGTACCCCCCACAGGAGCAATGACTGAGCAGTCCATCATGATACACTCTGCACCTGTCTGAAGATGGCTGTTGACACCCAGCATGGGGGTGGTTTCAAGTTTCAAGTCATCCATCAGAGGATTAGTATGGATTAATTTCTTGTAGGGGGATAGGATTATATCATATTATATCATCCCACCATTTTGGAGCTGGGAGTCTGGGAGTTTGGTTTTTTTTTACCCCAAAGACATAGAAACGACTGGATTCCAGCGGTTGCCCAGCGGTTGCCCAACGTGTCGTCGACGTGTTTCGATGCAGCTTTTGACGGACCAGAAACGTCGGCCTTGGGCACCGACTCGGACGCCGGAGGTGGGAAGAATTTTGCTGCTGGCCGGCCGACTTCGGAGTGACGAAATGATGGATGACTTCGCCAAAACGCCATGGATCTTACCCTCTGGTTATGTCAAAATAGCTATTGAAAATGGCCATTGATAGGTGGATTTTCCCATTGAAAATGGTGATTTTCCATAGTTTTTTGTAAACGTTTACCAGAGGGTAGTCATTACGAATCATTACATCCATCATTTCATCTGAGGGGAGCCTGACCGCAGGGTCACGTCATGGATTAATCTATGCCTATGCTAAGTCATGGTCTTTTTTAATGACCACTGGATGATTTTTATAGGGTCCCATGACTTAGGACAGCTCCAAATCTTTATTCAGTTCTATTGAATTCTATTGGTTGTAATATTTATGTGAGTAGCTATCTTGGTGTTTCCGAGAACTTGGAATCTTGTTGGGTAAAAAAAAGATCCTGGGCATGGTGCATGGTGCATTTATCCACAAGAAATGGGATAAATGCAGGAAATGAGGAGTTGTAAACTTATAAGCCAGGGTTGTTCACCACTTAGTATGCTCATCCAAGTATTGAGTGATCCCCAAATCCCAATTCGTTTGTATTCAATATTTGCCTGACATCAGCCGAGATCCGCTTTTGTTGCTGTTTGACCGGCCATTTTTTTTCTAGATCCCCTTTTTGAATTGATTAGATAGATAGATAGATAGATAGATAGATCGATAGATAGATCGATGGATAGATCCCCAGTTTGGAAGTGACATTTCTTTGCGGCCAAGTATTCAACTGGGCCATAGGTCGACCTGCAGGCCCTGGCTCAAAGGCTGGCCAGCGGCCCAGCGGCCCTGTCAAAGTCCACGCGTTTTGGGGGGTGCGCCGAGCTGCAATGCAGGCGGTGGTAGTGGCGGTACTGTGGTGAAGGTGGTGTTTCTTACCCCTATAAAAGTGGAGATATCCAATAACTGGGGTATAATATGGTTATAAAATACGGATCCCAACTGAGATGCCTTTTGAAGTAGGGACGGTCTACATACTTACGCCCAAGAAAAACATTGACATGCGCCCATCATTGGATTCATTGAGGATTTCCAAATGGACATAAATCTTCATGCTTTTGAATCTCTGTTTTGGTACCAAGAATTGGACAGTTACCCTCTGGTAAACAGCCACATAGCTATTGAAAATGGCCATCGATTTATAGTGGATTTACCATGATTTACCCATTTTCATAGCATGGTGTTTTTCCAGTTCGTTATGTCAACGTTGACCAGGCCGGGTATCCCTGATTTCATCCCAGCAGAGTGGCTTCGATTTCCACTGGATTTCGGGAGGCGATGCCTGAGATGATGCCTCCGCTGCCACCGAGGTCGGAGAGTTGAGTGGTGCAGCTAAGGTAAGGCATAGCTAAGTAGCTTTTCATTGATCACCTTGAGGGCAAACATCGGCTTTTCATTGGCTCATCTTGATTCATCTTGACTATCTTGATCTCCAATTTGTGGAGCCATACTGAGCCACACCTCCCAATAGTGTTGCGATCGAAATGTGCACAGGAAGAAGAAAAGGAAAAGACTCTTGGACGCATCTGAGAACATGTGAATATTCAGCAGAGTTCCCTGAAAATGCTGAACATTGTTTATATTTGGATCTGAACACAGGATAGCTGCCAATTTTTTCACGGTTGATCCATTGGTTTCCCCAATGGTCACATAAACTCATGGAGGATTTCAGTGCTGACCAGAAAATACCTTTTTCCGACTGGAAGAGTTACATTTTTGGGGTCGCTAGGGGTCAGCAAGTGGAACTGTTCCATTCCCAGGAAGAGGCTTCTTGGAGGTCTTCCTGCATAAGGTCGGGAAAATGGAAGATTTGACCCCGTTGCTGGACAGAGTTGGAAAGGTAGAATTTCTTGAACACCATGGCAGTGACTGGGTATGTTCCACTGGCAGTGACCCTACTCTGACATACCGATCCATAAGGGCGAAGTGTTGTGAAAGTAGTGAATATTCGCATTTTCCCAGGTAAAAATCCATCATTTCTGATCACTTTGCCTATTGGTCCAATTGGTGTATTCCCAATTTTCAGACCGACCCATATATCAACCTTGCAACATGTCGCCCTGAAAGCGCCCAATTTCTCATCCAGTTCCTCGATCAGATGCAAAAGCCTGAAGTGATCCTCATCAGCGTTTGGTGGTTCATCATGCTGGTACTGGCCACTTGGTTGGCATTTTCAACTCTCAAGACACTAGGTGCCGGTGGTGACGAAGATGATGATGGTGATCGTGATGGTGATGGTGGTGATGCTGAGGAAAGTGATGATGATGATGATGATGACGACGACGACGACGACGACGATGATGATGATGGTGATGACGAAGAAGAAGATGATCATGATGATGAGATGAGATGAGATGAGATGAGATGAGATGAGATGAGATGAGATGAGATGATGTCGGAAGTGTTTGTTTGTTTTATCGGTTTCGTTCTTACTTTTTTCAGGTTTCTGCAATATTCAAGTACATGTAGATGTGACAAGTCAACCTTTGATATTTAAGCCTTTGGGAAGGGAGTTGTACCGATTTGGAAGCCATGGTGACTTTGGGGCGTGACAAATGAGCTGCATAAAGTTGCTATTTGCTGAGATACCACATGAAACAGGTTCATAAGATTATCATTACATTTACCGATTGCGCTAAACATGACCAACTGTGACCAAGTGTTTCAAACAGAGTGGTCGTCGGCCTCGTGGTGTGATGACCCTGATGACACGGGCCGCAAAATCAGAAGAGCTCCTACTGCCATCTCTTCAACCCGGCGGTAGGTGATCTACATGGCCGAGATGGGCCCGATTCTGTGGGAGGTGTGGAGACCCTTGGTCTTCCTGTCCGGGAGCCCAGTTGTGGTGAGAATACATATGTTGAAACTTGAAACATCCATCCATCCATGCATCCATGCATCCTTGGACATGATATGACATTTCATAGCATGTACTACAGTACAGTACAGTACAGATATGTATATTGCATCCCTGGCGCTTGACAATGATGGTATTTCCCAATGGTATTTTTTTGTTTTTTCAGTGACCGCCCCTGATTCACCTGATCGCGCAGGATCAGCATTCCGGTGTCTTGGTGGCACCTCCAAATCCTTCCGTTTGTTTTCCCATTTAAATAGCCATTTAGTAAATTTAGTTGGGGACTTTCCAGTCATGTTTGCTGACACCGGAGGGTATGGTTTTTCTAGAAGTCTTTCCTGGCGAACAGAGATTTTCTTCAGCTGCCAGATCATCTTCTTTGGGATCCTGGCTTTCGCCACCCTGTGACGCAGCGCTGGGCAGCGACGCAACTAGAACTGGAAAGAATTCCTGGGCCTGGGACGAAGCGAAGGGCCACTTAGAACTGGTAGGGCTGGCGCAGATTTCATGAAAAGCTAGCGCAGTGGGTTATTTTTTCTTTTTGGCATGTCCTTCAGCTGTCGCGCCAACAGATATTCACCGCTTGGGTTGAGCAAAGATGGATCGACCGATCTCCTTTGCTCCTCAGTTTCACAAAAGCAGCATTCGGCATTTCATCCATGGAGTCTTTCAATTTCACCTTTCTGTGTGAAGGGAACAGGGTGACCCGCCAATTCACTTTTTTGATGGGTTCCACAGCGGCAGCTTGCATCGTGAAGGGATTGAACATCATGACACGCAGTCGCAAACAGTAGACTCAGTAGACTTTATGGCATTTCTTGATGTTAGCACTCCATGGTTTTGGACTTTCCGTTCCATTTCTGCATACTTTCAGTACGGAAACTCAACCAGAAATCATCTCAGTATCCCAAGCGCCGCGGTCACCACATGGCATGCATGGAGGGCTTCGGTCAGGGAGGTGGGTCAATATTCTTAGGGACCTCTTTTGGGACCATGAGTTTTGTTTCTTTTGTTTCTTTGTTTGAGTGTTAACCAATTGAATGGTGCCCAAGTGTGACTCCAAATGATGACCGCAGTAAGGTAGTGGCATTTGGGGTATAACCTATTTGCTGCATGATTGGTTATTGGTTTTGAATCTTCCATCCCTGGAAATACTACAATTGATTCGCACAGTTTGGGCCAAGTGGCTCAAGTGCCGACCAACATTTTCTGGGCCCAGTGGACTAGTGGAACAATGACTTTCCAATTTTCAGGACCTGGCCGCAGGCCCGGGTCAGTCACTAGCATTCTAGCATAGTCGTGATACTGCAGCACTAACCAGACAAAATCCTTCATTGGATTTTTCTGGCTAGAAGACCCATCGAGCGAAGCCTCCTGTGCAGCTTGTAGCACACTCCATAGGGCCAACAGCGGAAATAACGCCAGTGGGAAAAGACATGGCCTTGGCCAACGGTGATGAACTCCGAACGTGAGGATGGGTCTGGTTCAAAGTGCTGGCGCCACAGTGAAACTATGAAGGGCTCCGATTGAAAATCTCCAAACGGATCCTTATGTAGTTGATATGGGGCATCCAACCAACTTGACGGGATATGCTCTAACTGGCTGCAGCGCAGAAAGTTGATTGGACCTCTTATTTTTTGGATGGGAGGAGATTCAATTTTCCAGCACCCATGTTTTTTTTGTGTTTTTCTAGCAGCTAGTGTAGATATGGGTTTGTCTGAAAATAAGGGACCTCCAAATTTGACGGTTGATCATCATTTTCCCATTAAAACGGCCATGGGGGTATTTTTACACAGAAGGCATTCTCCTGCCCAGGCTGCCATGGCGGTGCCCAATTTCACCGTGGCTGTGCCCAGTGTGTTGACACAGCTGTATGATACAACGATTCTGAGATGCTTGGTCTACTTGGTGAAAGCAATGGCTTCCTAACTCCCCAACTCAGTTCAACTCTCCAAGTCTTGGGGTTTTCAGAGCGACGCAGTCCGTGGCTCAAAAATTCAACCCATGGACCCGCAAATGTCAGATGGATCATCCAATGTTCGTGTATCCAAGTCCGGCCTAGCAGTGGCTCACCTGAAAAAAGATTTGACTTAATTCAAAACTCATCTTGACTGCCCACTTGGGTAGGTTCATATTTGCAAACAGTCCAGTCACTGGTCCGTTGGCTTGCTTGAAGGGACATATATATATATACACATACATTTATATATATCCTGAAACCCTTGCACAGTTAAAAAAAACACACGTCCCTTCATCATCTTCATCCCGTTCAGAGAATTGCTATGGCCTATGACAGCTATGATCCCTTTGGTTCCCTTTGATGTCGAGGTGAGTTCCTCCGTGAAGCTCATGCTGCTGCAGGGCCAGCTGGCTGAGACGGTCAGCGCCGCCGCCGCGGCGCCAGCTCCGCGTGCGCCGACTGCGGCGCCCGCGCGGGCTGCGGAGTTGGCGGCGGCTTTGGCTGCGATGAAGGGGGATGCATATCCATTTACCAGCCATATCCAGCTATTTTGAATTATTTTGATGTGAAAACCGGGGGTTTTGACTCATACTCAGATTTTGGTCAAGACTTTTGGGCAACTTTGGATTGTTTACAAGTCTAAATGGCATGGAATGGTCAAGTTGGTGGATTGGTCGATTGCGAACGTATCAAGGCAGTTTTGGCATCGCTGAACTCAGCACGGGGCCACAGTGTGCAGCTTTACTCCTGTGACTGCGGCTCTACTTCGCTTTCTTCCGGAACATGAAGTCGAATAAGTAGAGGATTTTCATGGCTTTCTGATGAATTCTGCAATTTTGTTGCATTTTTTGAATTCTAAGTCGCAACAAACTGTTTGCAGATGGCGAACTTGGAGTTTCAAGTGCCATTGAGACGACTCAAAGCACTAACCAGTAGATTGTGGCTGGTCGATGGTTTCCATTCTTCTTGGTAAATGTAGAAATCCCAGGAATCCCATGATATATGTAAATATATGTTATACATTGCTATACGTGAAAATATCATACGCATTCAAAACTCACATGCATCGAATTCTTGGATTTCATGCAATTTCTTTTCTATAAAAACCCAAAAGCTCGTGTTTCCAGGCTTGTATAGATGGTTTTCACTCCTGTTCTCAGATTTACAACTTTTCTATCTATTTTTGGGTTGCTCTGAATTCTATCACCAAGATTCCTCAACAAACCTGACCGAAAAAAGGAGGGCGACGATTGCCGCGCGTTATTGCGGCGGTGCGCACAGAGTCGGCAGTGCGATGCAGGTCGGGAGAAGGATTTGAGCATCGAATTCCCATTGCCCACCATAGTACAAAATGGTATGTATATAAATATGTATGTAATCTACAGTAATATATGTAGGTGGACTATGATAGCAACCCCCAAAAAGACAGAAACGTGTTTCCAGGATGGTATATGTTTCCTCTCAATTTCCGGGTTTGCAACTTTTTTTTTACGATCTATTTTGGGTTTGCAGTATATATATATATTATATATATATACGTATATATATATTTATAATCTGCAACCTGGGGTCATTTCCCTGATTAACAATCCTATCCTCCGATTCATGAAGCTTCAACAAGCTAACCGAAGTCATGAATAGATCCAGTACTAAGGATTTGCATTAAGGGTTATTGAATATGATGGGGAAGGGATTGCGTGGATGTGTGTCCAAATCTGTACACCGGCCAACAACATTGGTTGGGACATCTGGATTTTTCGGGGTTTTCTTTTCCCGTAGAGACTTTCGGAGGGAAACTAAGGTGTAACTGAGGATTTTCCCAGCTTTTTCCCATGCATCGTATTCCCATCTGACCCATTTGGGTCAGGCGTTGAGGAGGAACTTCAGCTTGCTGAAGATGCCTTAGACATGTCTGGCAGCCCGGGCTTCATCCATGCTGAGTTGATGGAGATTTCATGGGATTTTGTGGTGGCTAACGGGCACTGAAAGTAGATGAACCTATTATGGTCATTTTCCATGGCTCTGTTGAATTACAAGAGATTAAATCAACAAAACATACACAAAACATGTTGGAAATGGTAGGAACACAGAAAATTGTTGTATATATAACCACACTGAAGGGGACAAGGGATTTGAAAGGAAAAACAATGCAGGTCAGACACAGTTGGTGGTAACAGTATCCGTTGAGAATCAAGTATATATATATATACATATTATACACACACACACTGTATATATATATATACACTATAAATATATCTCGTACGTACATACATACGTACGTACGTACCTACATACATACATGTATGCAGACATACATACATCCATCCATGCATGCACACAAACATACATACATACATGCATACATACTTACTTACTTACTTACATCCATCCATCCATCCATACATCCATACATCCACACATGCATATACATACCGCATCGTTAGTGGATATACTGGTATTCACAACCTGTCTTGTTCCTGTTGGTGGTGATAAACTCATGTACAGTAGTATCCATGTTGCACTTCTAGGAGCCTCAGCATCCTGCTTCAAGCTCAAGTGCAAGTGTCACACACACACACAAGGGACGCAAAGTGACGACGATGAGTTCCAATCCACATTCATCTCTGATCACGTACCAAAGTCATACTGTAATCTGCTGACAACCACCGAATCTGCTAACATCGTTGGATTTTCATCCCATTTTCAGTGGTTGAATGATTGGCTTCCAGATTTCCAGCCCGGATCCAGTTGATCTGTTTTTGCTTTTTTCGGCTATTAGGTTCAGCAAGGGCAGCTATTGGGTGAACCCTTTTGAGCCTGAAAGAGTGAAAGAAAGAGTCAAAGAGGTTTTTCATGACCTCAATATGATCCGCTATGAATGCTTGGTGAACCGTGATTTCATTCCTGCCTTTGCCCACGCCAAATGGCTTCCCCTTTGGGACTCGCACTGCTGGCTGTGGCTGCCAGCGAGTCGATGGATGCGATGCGTGTGGCGGTGCTGGAACACCGGGGCCAGAAGAGGCTGACCGGAAAGCGATGGGGATTTGACCAGCAAAAAATGGGAATTTCACCAGAAAGATTGATAGAAAAACCAAGAATCTAGATGTGAGACACAGTCTTTACAACACTTAGTTCTCTCTCACTTCAAAGAATTCCAGTGCGTGCCATAGAGACTCTCAACCATGATGGTTTATCTATGGGGTTCACCCCAAAACCACCAAAGATCCCAGGTTGGGAATCATTGCAATTTAGCTGTGTGTATAAATAAATAAATAAATAAATAAATATATATATATATATATATTCAACACCATTTTGGGGTGTTCGGCTTTGACTCATACCCACATGGCTTGGTGTAGCGCCGAGGGCCACAGCCTTTGAAACCATGAGTGCCAATTTGGAGATCTACGACCTTCAGATCCAGGTGGCAAACATTGGGCACTGGGTGCCCCAAAGCCATCAATGATTTCCTTCCCCTTTTTTTCCCCCTCTTTGAAGAAACATCCTCAGTTGTGCACTTTGAAGGAAGATCACTCGCAAATCCTGCTTAGATCCCTAAACTTCAGGAAGATGTTGCACTTTCGACTGGAAATGCAGCCGCAGCTGGGTTAAAGCACCGTTTTTTCATGGATTGAAATGGGGCTACCCCTGTTCATCATCCATTTTATTTGGATTTTTGAAGTAAACCAACCAGATGGATGTGGGTCAAAATGGAAGACCTAGGGGACCACAGATGTTAGTCTAGTTTAGTATGAACCATCCAATTATTGGGGTACCTAATTTTGACCCATACCCAGGGGATCCCCCCATGGATTGGACCCCCTCCTTTTTTCCAGGGTGAACTCCGTGGATTCTGCGCCGATTCCCGTCAGGAGGCGGCGCAGCGCGGTGCCAAGCTCTTGGTGACGCCTGAGGATGGTCTGACCAGCTTCGTGGGCAACCAACGAGTGACTCAACGGCAAGATACATACGATGCATATATATATAGAATAGAATATATATAGTATATAACATATAGCACATGAATTTAGATAATACTCTTTGGTTATTTTTTTGGTTTGCGAACTGGGACATCACCGTTTTGAAAAGGTAAAGCCTCATGTATCATAATTCATCTATAAATGGGTCATTTTCCATAGCTATATATATATATATGTATATATAAAACAACCAGAGGGTAACCCCCAAAAAAAGATAGATGAGTTCGAGAACTGACACAATTTCAGGATTGGATTTTACTCTATTTTTTAAATCGTTTGCTGGCAGTTCTGATTACATGCATACATGATACATACAGATAGATATAAGTTGTCGATATGTTGGATTTATGTTTGGATTCACTATTTCAAAGGGGATTTGAACATACCGTTGGAGCATACTCCAAGTCCCTCCAACGCCTCAGAAGGTACGCTCCATTGGTCTGTCGGATTTGTCGAATGTGAAGATCGGACTTGGAGTACATATATATATATATGTATATATATATGTATAGATCGATAGGTGTATGTAAACATCTATAGTTATGGGCATCCTGGAACATACACACACACACACACACGCATATATATATATATATATACTATGTAGATGGAACGATGGCTGAATAGCTATTTTTTTCTGACAACTTTTGATATGGCTCAAAGCTATGAGCCCTGGAATGCACCAGGGGCGACCACCATGTGCCGAGATCGCGCAAGGCTTTATGGTGGGACTATGCCGCCAGCCTTCCCGAGCCGGGGCAGGCTGAAGCTCAACTCCCTTGCATCGAGGTTCCATCGATGGAAAATCTTCGGGACAAAAAAAACCTTTAGGATGGAAATGATGCTGAGAAGGAATTATTTAGACATCAACTTTCATGTTTTCATCAATGAACTTTGACGTTTTTTGACGGATTCAGGCTGGATGGGCCAAAGCCGGGCAGTGGCCTTGTTTGGGCCGGATTTTTGGTTCGAAACTGTGGATTGAGCCTTTTTTCGGTAAAACGCCCATTTTTTCAGCACTTGGACTCTTTGATCCAGTTTCTAGTTCTGTTGATGAGCGCGCCTAAAATTGGCGAACCCTGTTGGGTCATCCACCCGGGGGGAGCGATCCTCGGCGACTAGGCCTCTGTTTGGTGGCCGTTGAGAAGGCTGAGCTGCATGGCTCTCCGACACCAGGTGGATCTTGGATGCTGTGAATGTGTTTGTTGTGTTAGATTTTTTGGAGGGATGTAAATATGTATATGTAAAGCTTCATTTAATATATATATATACATATCTATAGATACACTAAAATATCTGTGTATCTGACGTGCTGGGGAGTTATTTTTTGATGGATGGTAGATTATTCATCTGATTATATATCATAATCTGTAAATGCAGTAGATTTGCGCATCGGTTGTTCGCAGGTGGCGTTGGTGGCCAGCCTCATAGACATGAAGGTGGGCGGTCCGCCGCCGTCACTGGGGACGAGGCTGTTTGGGGGTATGTTAACGAAGCAACATGGATCAAAATGGGATAAAACAAACAATACAAATGGGGGATAGAGCCAGCAAAAGCGAGAATGTTGACACCACAAAAAGACGGGACACATTTTTTGTTTCTTGCCATTAGGAACTTCACCCAAGATGAAAAGTCATCAGGTCTCCAAGGTCTGTAACCTCTGGTCGATAGAGCAAAGTAGGTAAGGGAAGTCGGCAAAACAGATCTTTGGAATCATCATGATTCCCAATTGCCACGATTGATACTGGGCAGGGTAAACTTATCTCCAGCGCTGGAAGGACAATTAGTTCAGGGACCGGAATAGCAGTTCAAACCAACCGTGAATTTTTTTCGGGGTCCTCTGTGCCCAGCACACACACACACACTCATTTTCGGATGCTTCAAATTCAGGATGGTGTTGCCTCTAGCTGTGACAAAAAACCATGAAATTTCGTTCGTCTGGAAATTGGCCCTCCCAATTTCTGGCACTTCCAATAGGCACGCATTACTACAAACCAAGGGATATTCGATTTCCAAACTTTGAGGGAAGCTATGTTCCCATTTTCCCGGACCCTCCCCATCGAACTCAAACATCTTTGCACAGACGTCTAGCCTTGGTCCCGGCAGGACTGTACAGAGGAACCCGAATTCCCGGGCTGCGACAGCAGCCGTGATGGCTGGCTCTTGCTGAACACTGCAGTCGTCTTGGACAGAGATGGACGTTTACTGCAGAAGCGACTTGGTGATGTCAGCTATGGGGCCCCATAGTGTACTGGGGATGAACTAATCCACTTCTCAACTGGGGGCCATCCGAGCCGCAGGTATCACAAGGCCAACTTGTGGTTCGAAGCGGCTCTGGATGAGAGCAAGGACCGTCACGAAAAAGAGGAGTTGGAAGACGATTTTTCTTCACATGGCATGGTAGGGCCATTGATTTTTGGCTTCCCAGCTTCAATACATGGATTTCTAGGCGCTTGTCACGGCCTTTCATTGACATCTTGACAAGACCTTCAGGAGTGTTCGCCCAAGACCTTCAGCATCTCTGGCTTTGAGGACTGGATCTGTTTCACGTGGAACTTTTGTGTGAAAAAAACAAAATCGCACTTCAGAGTCTCACTTCGCAGCTCTTGAAAATCTGGTTCTTTCTATTTCTCGTGGATCTACATTCCAACATTCTACAGTGGTTTTTGCACACACACACACACATTCTCAGCATCTGATGGATCAGGAGGTGCCCTTTGGAATTTTCATTTGTGCCGACTTGATCCATGCCTGGCCTCCGCTGGATACTGGGACGAGGGGAGAACAGATATGCCATGGTTAGAAGATAGGTCAATGGCCATTTCAGGATCCTAAAATGGAGGTACCTACCATATGTAAGGCCTATGTAAGGCCTATGTAAGGGAATATCCCCACAAAATATGGCCTTGTATGGTACAGTACCTCCAATTTAGGATCCTGGAATTCCCATTGAATAGGTCATGTAGGTATTTAAGATTGTTAATGGGATATGTTTAGGGGAATATGATGGGGTACATAACCAACATTAACCAATTAAATGGGAATATAATGGGATATATGTGACCAACTATCATCGAAAGTTGGATGATATACCATGATATCATGATATCCATATGTTAGGTGATGGCCAACATTCCATTCTCATAGGGATTTCGTTCTAGCCCTTGTAAGAAATCCCTAATGATGTTGGGATGACCATAACCTCTTATTTCATGCCTTTACAATGGCCCATGGGAATGTGATCAGTAAAACTAGGCGATATCCCAACAACATGGCAATCAAAGATGGGGAAACGAGCTTTCAACCTTGGGATAGTTTGTCCAATGTTAGGGACCATTTTGCGTGTTGAGATTTTTGATGATTTTTTTACCTGACAAATGAGAGTACGACCTCTCATAGATATACTGGAGGTGCGGTTGTTTGGGAACGAGGGATGGATATTCCATCCCAAACATCAAAGTCAGTTCCTAAAACCATCCATATTCAAAGTTGCTTCAATATTCATCCATAAGATTTGGATTGGTTCAATCATCGATGACTATCCAATCCATTTTTTGGACCTTTCCAGCAAAAAGAGCCCAGTTTCGGTCAGATCCGAGGAGCTAGTCACCAAGGGCATCCGGCACTTTGTCACTGGCCTTGGATTCGTACCCAACGGGATTCGTCTCTTGGGGGCTACTGAATTCCAGAAACATTGGATTGGTTTAAGGGGAAATCTACACGAAAACCCTACATAATTTTCTCATTTGAATGACCGTTTAGTTATTAAAAACTCCCCATCCATCATCATCCACCAAGCATCAGTTCGCATTTATCCCCATTGATATTCCATTAATGCCCATTGAGTTTGGGTAACGTTTCCATTGATTTCCCTTAAAGTGGGAGTACCCCCAATCATTTGTTCTTGATTTTCCACGAAAAAGAACATTCATTTTTGGGTACCCCCCACGACTTAGGAACCCCCCATAGCTTGGCAATGATGTCTATTTTGGAAAATCCACTGTTCATAGATGAGTTTCTAACGAAACCTCCATTGAAAATCATTTACTTCGGGGATTCCCCAACAAAGCTATAGAAAATCACCATGTCTAGTAGGTAAATCAGCTATTTCTATGGCCATTAACCAACATTAACCAACATTAACCAACATTAACTAACATTAACCAACATTAACCAACATCTGTGTCCGTCCAACGGGAATTCCAAAAGGTCTCGTTCCCAGTTCGCCGAGGTGATGCCTTTGAGCTGGACAAATGAAATGGCGCAGATGCAGCCCTTGGGTTGGCAGCAGGTTTTCGGATGGGAAGAATATGGGTTTATGATGTTAAATAAACACCATTTAATAATATTTAATATGGATATTAAATGGTGTTTATTTCATTTAATAATATTTAATATCCATATATATATATATACATATTGTCATATATTTCCATGAAGTATGAAACATAATTCCAGATATGGTACTTTTTTTGATTCATGGAAACTATTCATGAAATATATATATATATGTGTATCTACCATTTCACAGGCTTTACACTGTTCAGAAATATTCCATGAATCATGGAATAGTTAAGATTTCTAAGTAATGGATGTCATGGAATATATGATAATATACGTGTATATTATTTGATGGGAATGATGATTGTTGATGGCATAATACTAGATGATATTGTTTACATGTAGATGGACATAATTAATCAGTATTAGTACAATAAATACATCCACTATATATTAGGATCATGAACCATACTTCATGGTTATTATTGTCTGAGACTTTAAGAATATAACCGTAATCTACGTTGTACATATGCACATAGGAATAACTATTATTGATTCCCATTTGTAATGGTTAGATTGCTATATATATATACACATACACACCTATGCAAGACCTGGGAAATATAATGGCTATTGTGGATAACTGGTTCTATGAATCATTTATTGTCGCTGATACATCTTACTGGGATAGCGAGACAGCAACAAAAAATCATACCACATGATAATGATATGCTACAGGGGCACGGGGGCTTGCACATCAAAGGATTCTATTGGCTCCTCTCCACTGGTGTTGTGATCCAACAGGGATAGACTTTGCACTCCAGGTTGCGCTGTATGGATCTTGGACCAATCTTTTGCAGCAGCAACCAGCTGGCCCTCACGCTTTTTTTCACTCTCCATGTTGAAGCAATTTGGATGTGCTTCCCGGTTAGCGCCTCATGCCTTGCTGGATAGATAAGTCTCCACTTATACGTGCGGAACTAGCCCAAACTTACTGGCCAGTCATACAACTGAGATTTATATACAGGTAAGGGGCTGCCACAACAACTTCTTTTTCGACACTTCAGCTAATAGTGGGAATTGGATTTGTAGAACCAAGGGTAACTGGGTAAGTATCATCGTGCCATCCAGTGATATAGATATGGATCAACATCAAAATGACCTTCACAGATGACCACCCTTGGTGGGTCAAAACAGGTACCTGTTCGATGCAGGCGTGGAGCCATCAGATGCAGGCGGTTCTCTTGGCGGCAAACACCCGCAGCAGCAGCTGCAGTGGCAGCGGAATCTACGTGCAGGGCGAGGTGGGAAGGACAAAGGCTAGCTGGCCATTTTTCCAGCATTCCTCTAGATTGTTTTTTTAAACATAGATATATTGAAAACCTATTAAATCCCATTAAGTATCCCATTAAGTCCTATTAAGTACCATTAAATCACCATAAATCCCATTAAATCACCATTAACTCCATATCCATGTTAATTTTTCCCGTCTGCTAGGCCAAAGCTGTGGCCTACGACTTGGAGGCACAAGCAGATCAGCTGCTGGTGACCGAGGACAGCAGACCGCCGGGGCTGTGCGGAGAATTTTCTCTTCAAAAAAATGGTTATTTAATGGGATTTATATGGATTTATGATGATTTAATGGTGATTATGGTGATTTGATGGGGATTTTTCGGTGGGATTGATAATGATCAATCTGGCAATTTCAGCAAATTTACTATAGGATGATCTTTCAGAGTGGGATTCAAACAGAGCTGGTTGTGGAATCCCCGAACTCAATGGACATTTATGGCTCGGAAAATCATAGAATTCATGTGAATTCATGTGTTGTTTTGAGAGCGGCAGGTTGTCAGAGTGCGCTTTTTCCATCATTTTTTATCATGACATGTGTGCAGAAAGATTATGGCCTCCAAAAATGGGTAAAACTTCGAAATCTAATGGCTAAAAGAAACCCATTTTGTCAACTAAAATGGCCCATATATTGGGGTGTATCCCAATTTCATATCCCATCAAGATTTCATATCCCATTGAGTTTCTGGTTCCATCTCCCATAAACCCACCTCCCCATATTTGATTGTGATATAGACACACAAAGTTAAATCCCCATGTCTGATCGGCTTGGAACTGGCCCGCCATTTCTCGATTTTCCAGGTGCCCCTGCGCTTGGTCGAGCCCGCTGCGAGCCCCATCGGCTGTCCAACGTCGTCCGACACCAGACTTCTTCCAGTGGATGAGGGCTCGAAGTGGAAGAGCTTTCAGTTGGACATGAACCTTGGGCGCTATCGATGGGTAATATCCTTTATTATAGTTTGATATTATATCATACCACTTTAATGCCAGATGGACCCACACACACATATATATATATACATTATACACTATACACATTCAATTACCTTGCATTGCACTACATTACATCACCTTACACTACACAGATCACCTTACACTACATTACCTCATGTTCCGTTCCGTTCCGTTCCGTTCCGTTGCATTACACACACACACACGTACATGAAGATGTGGGTGCAAGCATCTACAACCAATAAGGAGTTGTTGTGTTTTTTTCAGTTGGAAGATTGGTGAGAATAGGACCCTATGTTTCCAAGAAAAACATGGATACTTGATGGATTTTGGATGCGCTTTTTACTGTTTTTGGCTACATTGACTTCTAATGCCAATACTTCTCCAAAAGTTGGGTATCTCACTGGAGCTGGTGATGACATAACTGGGAGTCATGGCTCCCCGTTTCCAGGAGCCATTTCGGTTACAGTAACTCTTGGTTCCCAAGTTATATCCTGTCTGCTGATGCTGAAAGGGACAATATGGGACAATCTTCGTTTGATTTGGGTCTTGGAAATCAGGGCAACTTAGTTCAAGTGGAATTTTCCGGGAGATCCTCTTGTGGTCGTAAATAGCGTGTTTTCTTTTCTGTGAGATATAGCTCCAAATCATTTTACCATGGCATTACCCATATTATATGATGATAGCAGAATTTTCATGACTATCCATGGAAGTAACCATATAGCATGTAATATGGGAGATGTGATATGTAGCTATGATAGCAGATACCCTCTGGTAATTTAACATAGCTATGGAAAATCACCATTTTTAATGGGAAAACTCACTATAAATGGCCATTTTCAATAGCTATGTTAGTTTACCAGAGGGTAGTAGAATATTGTTGTCATAGAAATGTCTATCAATCCAGTAGCAGATGTCCGCTCAACTCGACTCTAAGGACTCCCGGTGATCACAGCAGCAGCTGAGCTGCAGCGGTTCGCAAACGCCCATATCTAGATGTAAAACGATATGGGAAGAACAAATGATAATGATGACAGTAATAGTGAGCATGTATATATATAAATAATGCAATATAATACAATCTAATATCATATAATATTTCATACAATAAAATATCTAATTTAATATCTAATATAATATCTAATATAATCTAACATAATATCTAACATAATATCTAATATAATATCTAATATAATATCTAATATAATATCTAACATAATATCTAATATAATATCTAATATGATATAATAGAATATAATATGATATAATATGATATATAATATATAATATAATCTGATAGAATATAATATATAATATAATGTAGTATAATATAATATAATATAACGTATAGTGTAGTATAATATAATATAATATAATTAAATGTATAATATACAATATCATATAATATATGATATAACATAATATATAATATAATATATAACATGATGTATGATATAATATTTCATATAATATACAGCATATTATTATATAATATATAATACAATATAATATAATATAATATAATACAATACAATATACATAATATAATAAAATATAATAAAATATAATATAATATATAATATAATATAATATATAATATAATATAATATATAATATAATATATAATATATAATATATAATATATAATATATAATATAATATAATATATAATATTATATAATATAATATAATATAATATAATATATATACATATAATATAATTCAATATGACAAAATATAATATAATATAATATAATATATAATATAATATATAATATAATATAATATATAATATAATATAATATATAATATAATATATAATACAGTATACAATATAATACAATATACATAATATAATAAAATATAATCATATATGATATAATATATAATATAATATATAATATAATATATAATATAATATATAATATAATATATAATATAATATATAATATAATATATAATATAATATATAATATATAATATAATATAATATAATATATAATATAATATATAGTATAATATATAATATAATATATAATATAATATATAATATAATATATAATATATAATATAATATATAATATAATATATAATATAATATATAATATAATATGATATAATATACTATATATATAATATAATTCAATATAACAAAATATAATATAATATAATATAATATAGTTTAATATAATATATACTATAATATAATATATAATATAATATAATATATAATATAATATATAATATAATATATAATATAATATATAATACAATATATAATATAATATATAATATAATATATAATTTAATATATATATAACAATAAAAGATAATATATAATATAAGATTCAATATATAATTTAATATATAATACAATATAAGATAATATATAATATTATATATGATATATAATATACTAGATAATATATAATATATAATATGTAATATATAATATAATATATAATATAATATATAATATAATATATAATATATAATATCTACTATATAATATATAATATATAATATATAAAATATAATATATAAAATATAATATATAATATATAATAATATATAATATATAATAATATATAATATATAATATATAATATATAATATATAATATAATATATAATATATATAATATATATATATAACAAATAATATATAATATATAGTATATAATATATAATATATAATATATAATATATAATATATAATATAATATAGAATATATATAATAAAATATAATATATATTATGATATACAATATAATATATAATATAATATAATATAATATATAATATATAATATATAATATAATATATAATATAATATAATATAATATATAATATAATATATAATATAATATATGATATAATATATTATTTAATATATAATATAAAATAATATAATATATAATTTAATATATAATATAATATACAATATAATATATAATATTGTATATTATATTATTTATTATTATATATTATATATATGCATTATACCATATTATATAGCACATTGTATATCTATATATATATCATTGTTATAAATTATAATATATAATATAATATATAAAAAAATATAATAATAACAGCATATATATATAATGTGCTATATAATCTGATATAATGCATATATAATATAGTTTATAATAGTATAACATAACATAATATAATATAATATGATATAATATAATATAATAATATAATATAATCGAAGGAAGTTTAGAAGCTATACTTCCGACAATATGGACAGTTGAAAAGCAGAGGTGAGAAGAGTCAGAAGAGAAAAGATCAGAAGAAAGAAGATGTAGATGCGCGAAAAGATAGGAAAGTCGCGAAACACTGTGTTTTTCCAATGATTTGTGGCTCCGGAGAGTCGAAAAGTAGGCTCGCTAAAGCGGCGGGTGCGGAGCCAGCTGGCCAGATGAGAGATGAAAAATTGCACGCCGTTGTGGCGCGAAGCACATTTCCAAGTCAAAATGGACAAAGCACTAGAGGAGCGGACCACTTTTGGAAGTTGAGATGTCGAAAAAGTGCACACCGTTGTGGCGCGAAGCACATTTTGAAGTCAAAATGTGCAAAACACACCATTCTCGGACCACTTCTGGAAGTTGAGATGTTGAAAAAGTGCACGCCGTTGTGGCGCGAAGCACATTTCGAAGTCAAAATGTACAAAGCACACCATTCTCGGACCACTTTTGGAAGTTGAGATGTCGAAAAAGTGCACGCCGTTGTGGCGCGAAGCACATTTCCAAGTGAAAATGTACAAAGCACACCATTCTGGGACCACTTTTGGAGGTTCAGATGTCGAAAAAGCGTCGAAAAAGTGCACGCCGTTGTGGCGCGAAGCACATTTCGAAGTCAAAAGTGTAAAAAACTGAGGGTTTTGAGCCTTTTTTGGCGTGAAGATGTCGAAAAAGTAGACACTGATTAACTTAACTAACTTGACTAACTTGACTAACTTCACTAACTTAACTACCCTAACTTCGACGACAACAGCAACAGCAACAGCAACAGCAACAGCAACACCACCAACAACAACAACAACAACAACAACACCAACACCAACACCAACACCAACACCAACCACAACAACCACAACAACTACAACTACAACAACTACAACAACTACAACAACTACAACTACAACAACTACACAACAACTACAGCTACAACTAGAACTACAACTACAACAGCTGCAACAACAACAACAACAACAGCGACAACGACAACAACAACAACAGCAACAACAACAACTACAACAACTACAACAACAACTACTACTACAACTACACTACACAACAACTACAACCACACAACAACTACAGCTACAACTACAACAACAACAACTACTACAACTACAACTACAAAACAACTACAACTACAAAACAACTACAGCTACAACTATATGACTGCAACTACACTACACTAATTACATTACACCGCAACTACAACTCCACTACGCTACAACTACAACTACAGTTGCATTGTATCACACTACATCCAGCAGTTGTGGGTGAGGTGACCATTGCAACCATTGCAACCACTCCAGCAAACACAACTCCAACCACCTTTCGGTCAATCAGTGGCTTCGCTCTGCCATCCCTGATTCACAACAACCAACTTCTCCTATAGGTTTCCTATTTTTGAAACTTCCGCCACCGCCTTGTGCGGTACTACTGGTATGATATAATATGATAATATAATATAATAGAATAAAATAATATAATATAATTTAATATAATATAATATAATTTGATATATTATAATATAGCATAATATAATTTGATATAGTATAATATAACATAATATAGTACAATATAGTATGATATAGTATAATATAGTATTATCGAAGGAAGTTTGGAAGTCAAACTTCCGACAATATGGAGAGATGAAAAAGCAGTCAGCAGGGAGAAGAGTCAGAAGAGAAAAGATCAGAAGAAAGAAGATGCAGGTGCGCGAAAAGGTAGGAAAGTCGCGAAACACTGTGTTTTTTCGTGGTTTTGTGGCTCCGGAGGGTCGAAAAGTAGGCTCGCTAAAGCGGCGGGTGCGGAGACATCTGGGGAGATGAGAGATGAAAAGTTGCACGCCGTTGTGGCGCGAAGCACATTTGGAAGTAAAATGTGTTAAAAACTGAGGGGTTCGGACCACTTTTGGAAGTTGAGATGTTGAAAAAGTGCACGCCGTTGTGGCGCGAAGCACATGTCGAAGTCAAAATGTACAAAACACACCAGCGTCGAACCACTTTTGGAAGTTGAGATGTCGAAAAAGCGCACGCCGTTGTGGCGCGAAGCACATTTCGAAGTCAAAATGTACAAAGCACACCATTCTCGGACCACTTTTGGAAGTTGAGATGTCGAAAAAGTGCACGCCGTTGTGGCGCGAAGCACATTTCGAAGTCAAAATGTACAAAGCACACCATTCTCGGACCACTTTTGGAAGTTGAGATATCGAAAAAGTGCGCGCTGTTGTGGCGCGAAGCACATGTCGAAGTCAAAATGTACAAAGCACTAGGGGTTCGACCACTTTTGGAGGTTCAGATGTCGCTTCGCTTCGCTTCGGGTCATTACACTACACTATACACTCCACTACACTACAGTACATTACACTACACTACACTCCACAACACTACAACTACAACTACAGAACTACACAACTACACTCCACTACACTCCACTACACTCCACTACACTCCACTACACTCCACTACACTCCACTACACACCGCTACACTAAATTACACTACACTACATTACACTACACTAGAAAGATCGATAGATAGATACATAGAAAATCGATAGGTAGGTAGGTAGATAGTCAGAGAAAGAGAGAGAAAGAGTGAGAGAGATCAAGCACCTTTCAGTCCATCAGTGGCTTCGCTCTGCCATCCCGGATTCACAACAACCAAGCTCTCCGATAGGTTTCCTATTTTTGAAACTTCCGCCACCGCCTTGTGCGGTACTACTGGTATATAGTATAACACAGTATAATATCAATATAATATAATAATATGTATATATATATATAACATGATGTGCATTAATATAGACAGTACATGTACATCACATTGTATATCAATGACTTTCTGCATGACCAGAGCTCCAGGCACCCTTTGCAGCGCTGCAACGTGCTGCCACGTGAGCTACCGCAGCCGGCGCCAAGGGGAAGGCAGGGGGATCCCAGGGGAAAACCCAAGGATTCACCGTTTCTGCTGGTGAAATTCTCCCAGAAGTTAAAGTAAGATTGACAGGACCCCCGCAAAAAAAACATGAGATTCGGATTCTTGAAACCATCCTGGTGAGTTCTAGAGTTTAGAGGATGTTAGGCAAAGCAGCAGCTTTAGATATCTCTAGATCACATGATGACAAGGTCACTAGCATGGCTGTGATCCCAAAATGAGACGCCTGTGCCATCCCAAATGTGTCAGGTTATGTGCTGGCGGTGCTGAATGGATTGGACATCTCTCCTGAAGTTGCACCATGGGCTGCAGAGGCCGGGACAAGCTGCACTCAATGGTATGATGGGGGCTGCTACTGCTTCGAAATGGATGGTAATCCGATCCCCCTTGATATTACATACCCCTAAGAAGGGACAATGAATAGATCCATGACTAAAGCTGGGTTTTGTTTGAGCTGTTCTTCTATATATTAGGTTCAAAAACTCATTTGGAATCCCATTCAGCTCCGGAATTTGCTGCCAGCTATGGCTAGTTGTGACCCAAATTGTCTCCGGAGCCTCGGGGGGCAGAGAAGAGGCAACTCAAAACCCTGGCTTGATTGCCATCTACCATTTCCCACATGGCTATGGGTCAATACCTATAGATACCATTTTTGGTGGGATGAACATCCATTTACCAGCTATTTTGATGTTCACTAGGTACCAGGGTTTTGACCCACCCCCACATCTATGAGTGGAACGGACATGACAACTTTTTGTTTTTCCAGCTTTCAGAAAAGTTCCAAACTGCTGTGGCAATTCTTTGCATGCAGATATTGCTCTGGTAATCCCACAGGACCCCTTCAGAAACATCAACAGGAAAACAACACAGATGGTTTCGTAATGATAGATGTATATAATACATACTTTAATACATATATATATACACGTACAAATGACTATGTACATTTATAGATAGATAGATAGATAGATCGATAGATCAATATATATATATAAATAATAGATACATTGCCTCAATCTCTCTCTCTCTCTATAAGATCTACATTACCTATAGAGATATGTCATTCATTGATGCATCACCATCGGCTCTGAGGCCTGCGCTGTGCTGCCTTGCCAATCCTCCAGCGATTGCCTCACCTATCCCAGCGAGGTCGCCCGGGGACCAGGGAACCAAAAAACATGGGAAGAAACACACCCAGTTGAGCCGGGTTTTCTTGGATTCTGTGTGTGTGTGCACCTTTTTTTCCTTTTTTTTGGTAATTACAAGTTGAATTCGAAAAACAATAGGTTTTAGATGATTGTCCGAGACATTTTCTTATTGGCATTTTGGGCTTGTTTCATATAGAGATAGGGGTGATCTGGAATAGTTGCACAGCTGGCTGGAAGTGTGATGGAATTGTTTCCAGTATGGTGGTTTTCAAGGGTCTCGTGGGATCCAGAACATATTTGCCTCCACTACCATGGTGGAGGCATGCCAATTTCCTTGCTCGAAACGAGAAAAACCATGGTTTTTCACGACAACTCCATCCATTGAAGATGCAGAGATGAGCCAAGAAGCAATCTCTTGAAACTTCACAAAAACATTGGTGCAAGAAGCCAATCCGATCAAAAATTGTTGTAGCGTCGAAGCGTCGAACGTTGGAATCGTGGATTTTTCTCGTCTGTCAGGCCTTACGGCAACATAGCGCAAAGTGGTTTGGTGAGTTTGAAACCTGACGGGGTCGGATGTGGTGGGCTGGTGATTGGAGTTGGAGGATGGGGTTTTCGGATCAGAGGCAAATGAAGTTTGTTGAGAGTTGAGTTGTTGATATTTCCCATTTTAATAGCCAATTTTATAATAAGTGGATATACACAGGGAGAATATAAAATCGTATGTTGATGACAAAATGGGATGTTTAATCATCCTCAGTCAGTTGTTAACATCCCAGATTCAAAACGGAGGATCGCTCCACCGGGCAATCGTTAAGGAATCCCTGGAGATGGAGGCGAACTTCTCCACGACTCAAGAGGTGACTTGTCTCCGTTAAAAGCCGTTGCTTTTGAGGTTGAAGATCAATGTTTTTGGCGATTACTGATATATGATCCTCATTCTCCCTTGGGTTCAATTCCTGTTTTTGCAGCTTACCTACCAATTCTTAGTCCATCCTGGTGAGGTTGCAACCTCCGAGACAATTTTGGGATGACTAGGCCCTGAGTGCTTCTACTTTGGCGTAATCCTATAAGCGATAGGGCCAACATCAAGCTGGAAATTTGCCAGGATGTCATATACATTCATATACACTATACACACACAGAGAAAAAACAAATATAAAGAAATAATGACAGACATAAATGAAGAAATACATAAATGTATCAAGAAATAAGCCAACCTATATATTTACCTCGAAAAAATGGGTTGCTACATTTTTCCCATGACATGGCCCATGACCCAAATATGTCATCGCCCACGCTACTGAGCCGCCTGAGGTCTTTCCTCAGGTGTTAGCCACCTCGCAGCGGCTTCTATCGCCCCGCGCCTGGCACCTGCATCGCGGAGCGCGCAGCGGAGCCGAAACGACGCTGCGTTTGGCGCTGAACGGCAGCGCGGTGGAGGAGTTGGTGTCGTTGCCCGGAGAAACGACCTGGGGATGGGAAAAAAAGCTGTGAAAAGCTTGAAAATAGGTCAACATACGCATCTAAATAGCCTATTTGGGTGGGAGGAACATCCATTTACTAGCGATTTAGGGGGGGAACAAAGTGCACTAGGGTGAAATGAACTATATCCATCAGAGAAAGGGGCAGAATTCAGCAACAAAGATGGAGATACTGAGCAAATTGGGGAGATTCTGAACAACAAGACTGGGGAAATATCGGGGAGATATGATTGATTGATTGATTGATTGATTGGTCGTTGACATGCAATCTGGGATGGGTATCCATAGATTGCTAGGGTTTCTTGATGACTTTTATGAGGAATGCCAGTGGTGGGACCATGCCATAGACCTCTGACGCTTCCAACGGGCTTTTTGAGGGAAGGCACCCTTAGGGAATCGATGCTGGCGGTGGAAATTTCACCCATGTACAAAAACAATTATATATATATATATACACATAATAGTTATAGATGTCTCAAACATTATACACATACATCACATATCATCATATCCATTCATTCGTGAACCAGTACTCAAACATTATCACAGGGTAATCCATTTCAGGATTGGCGCTCTCCGGCTCTGTGGTAACAACCAGGAGTTCGGCCATCCTTTCGGTGATTTTTTCTATCGCAGAGTTTTTTTTTCTGGCTGGTTGATCGAAAATTTATGGGCAACCCCTATTAATCACGATCAACAAGATCAACAAGGAACTCAGAGGCAAACGGTCTCAAACTAACGTCCTCTGGTTCTAGGTTTCATTCAAGCACTTGCCAAAAAAATGAGAGAGGGACGCCAGGAGGGACCATTTTTGCAGCGTTTTGTGTTTTTTTTTTGATACTTCAGGTTCATTTGTACTCGTAACCATTTGTTCTGGATTTTTTCTAGTTTTTTTTTCATATTACTCTGTTTCTGTTGCATTGTTGTTTGTTATATATTTCATTTGTTTCTGGAAGTTCATATAGAATAGCATACCTAGTAGGGGTGGAGATAGCCCATATCCTTGGTTCTACACGGTTTTTTGTTTTGCAAAAGAAGATTATAGCAGATCCATGGCAAGTAGCAAATCCAATCCGTATCTTCACTGAAAGAATTAGGGGACGACCTTGATTTCCCAGAATTGGTTGAAAATCTGCGGGAAACCCTGGGTTTTTTCCGGATCTAGTATATTTGGAGGTAGAAAAGTAAAAGCCATGATTTCCGATTTCGATTTTTTCTTGAACCAATCCAAAAAATCCACAGAATTCAGTATTCATTGGTTAAATCACATTTTTTTGATGCTTAAATCCCATATTGATGGTTGTATCACCATCATATCCCCTTCGCCGATCCTTTCGGTCTGGGTTGAGGCTCCAGCTGTACGGTCGCCCCTATTCGAGGGACTCGGACATCCAGCAGCACTGCCATTGCGGCCCCAAAGTGGAAGGCGGGGACGTCTAGGGAGGTCTAGGGAGGTAGCAACGGATGTTCATCCTCTCAGTCATATTCAATGGGAATATAGGCCTTATATAGGCCTTACATATGGTAGGTACCTCGGATTTAGGTTCCTGAAATTGCCATTGTCATATGGTATTTTTATGTATTTTGTAGGTTATCAGCACTGTAGAAGTGGATTCACATGGTTTGATGCTTGATTGATCCAATTCCAGAACTGAAAGTGTTGGGGAACACGCTTCCAGCTGTTGGCGGTTTTATCCTTGAAGCTTGGAGGTTTTGCTTCTGAATTCAAACTTTCGACCAGTTGGGCCGTTGATTAGCTCACCATCAACAGGTTTGTGGGAACCATGCTGTGAATCCTCCAGCAACCTTCTCCACATCTTTGTCTTGTCGCTTTCCAACCCAGGTGTGCTGGTCTGAATCCGAAAAAAAAGTGCTGCTGACAGGGCAGTGCAGAGCTGTCCAACCCAAAGCGACCGATGGTTTCCCCTGACAGATGCAGGGCGAGATGCATTTGGGGCTGATTTTGGGGGGCATCCAACTTGGAAGAAACAACCTCCAAGTCGCATCCTCATGTATCCTGGATGACCCTGTACGGCTACCCTTTGCTTCAAATCCAAGTAGCTACCCGGGATTGGTGGATGATGTGTTGGTTCCCGTTGCGGTTGGTGGGCATGCCGTTGTGTTCCGGTTGTGGTGGGTTGGACGTGTTGGACATATTGGTTGAGTTACATCACCATGTGTGGTGCTGAGAAATCCCAGTTTTTCACGGGATGGATCCCCAGTTTTTCCCATCCCATCTCAATGGTAGGGGTCCAACCTGAGGTGTCGTTCTGCCAGCAGCTCATCAACTTCCTCCGCCTGGGAGGTAAGAAGCTGAGGATGGGATTTCACTATAAGATATGTTTTCGTTGTTTCAAACAATCAAAGATGGCGGGTTTTAGCGATCAAACAAACCGTATAATGTAATATATATATAATAATATAATATAGTATAATATAATATAATATAATATGATATGATATAATATAATATAATATAATATATAATTTCCAAAGATGGAGGTTTAACTACATCCACAGAATGGTTTTTCTTACTGTCTTACTATTGAGAGTTGGGATGATACCTTTGAGTACCACGGGGATACCTTCACCAACTGAGATTTTACCCCGCAAAGTTGGTGCTGTGATCTTAACCTCCGAGTTTCATCGAGTTTCCAGGTTTCCAACTTGTCCATCAATTCAGCGATAACTATATATATATATACACACTGTGTATATATAATATATGTAATGTAATGTAATGTAATGTTAATGTAATGTAACGTCATGTAATGTCATGTAATGTAATGTAATGTTAATGTAATGTAACGTCATGTAATGTAATGTAATGTTAATGTAATGTAACATCATGTAATGTAATGTAATGTTAATGTAATGTAACGTCATGTAATGTAATGTAATGTAATGTTAATGTAATGTAACGTCATGTAATGTAATGTAATGTAATGTTAATGTAATGTAACGTCATGTAATGTAATGTAATGTAATGTTAATGTAACGTCATGTAATGTAATGTAACGTCATGTAATGTAATGTAATGTAATGTAATGTATTGTATGTATGGTATATCAAGGGTGGGGAGGTGGATATCGGCAACACAGCCACTGTATAGCTGCATATGTAGCCGTGTTTATATGGGTGCAGAAACTCCCGATCCACTCTTTTGGGCATTTTCCTTTTTGTGACTACGGAGTTTTCTCTGTGCCCCAAGCCATATGGAGGTTTTCATCAATGGGGGTACCCCAAAATGCTTGGTTGATATTGGACAACCCTATGGAAATGGATGATTTAGGGGCACCCCTATAGGAACCCCCCCATATAGCGAACAGGCGTGATGAGACCTACCAGTGATTGGGATCATATTTTTCAGAGGGGCCAGCTGGTGAGAACCCAAGCCACCAACTTGAAAATTTCTGGAAGTTACCTCCTCAATTATGGACCATTCACCGACAGCTATCATGCCTCTATGCACGCTCGCTTCGCGACGAAAACCGCCCGCACCAAGTGTAATGGATTCGGGAAGTCTAATATGTTGGAGGATGTTTGGCCATATTGAACGTTTTTTTAGCACTTATTGGGCACTTTTTAGCTCCGTATGAGGCTATCTTGGCCCCATATGAGGGTATGTTGGCCCCATTTGAGGCTATGTTGGCCCCATGTGAGCCTATCTTAGGCTCATGTTGGGCCTATGTTGGGCCTATCTTGACCCAGTTTTGGCCTATATTGGCCCAGATCAAGAATTTTGATCCCTTTTAAAAAACATGCAAAAACACAGGATTCTAGAGCAAAAATGAGGCCCCCCCAAGCTAAAGCTTATTAGCTATAATGCAATTGCTAACGGTTCACGCAGGCACAAAAAACGCCTCGGCACCTTCGGTGCGGGCGGATTTTGTGATCGTCCCACTTGTCAGCCCCGGTCCAGGTGTCAGCCCTGTGCGCAGTGGCAGAGGCACATCTTGGAGTTCAGGAACAGCACCAGGCCAGGAGATTTTTTGAGGAGTCGGAAGGTCTGGAAATTTATGTTGGTGATGTAGTTTCGCTTGCGAATTCAACTGATGTCAACTGTTCGAAATGCCTGATGAATTTGACATACCAACGTTTGTGGAGTGAGTCCCTTTTCAAGCGGACCAGTTGGTAATTTTCGTCCATACAAGGTGGGGACAACGGAAGAGAAAATGCGATCACCATCTTTGGGAATCACTCAAGAATTCATTGGCAATGCCGGCAATGCCGGCCATGTCATGCCACCTGTCTTTTTTTTTTTGCCAGACCATTTTTCTACCTCGATTTTTTCGTACCATGTCTTTTGGACTTCCACCTTGGTTTTGCGAGGAGCGGGCCTATTTATTTGTTCCGAAATCGTTCACCGAACCAACCCGTTCCTCTTTCTGTTTAGGCACCCAAACTTTGAACAAATCTGAACCATTTATATATATATATATATAGATATTGACAAGTTGACAAGCCGAAAATGAGATGGGTATGTGTCAAAACCATTCAAAACCCTGATAGCCTGCTGTTGAGCCCGGTGTTTATTCGCAATGGTTCCATAGGTAGCATGCCACATCCCCAGATCAGCCATTCTTGGGATGACAAATCATCAGCGAGTTGACCAAGCCCCATAGATCATGGTCCATATAATGGAATCCACCCGAAATATGCCGACAGTGGGCATTCCATTCTATATAATCACACAACGATGGTCAATCTCGGTTCATCTCCCTATTTTTCTTTGTGAAACACCCAACAGTTGCCGACAACACCCAATTTTGTGTAAACAGAACCAATTAAGAAAACTATTTGTTACTTGTTGAACTATTTTCTGGTATTTTTTGGGGTAAAGATGCCACATTGACATTGTTGACATACATTAAACCCAAGCTTTCCAGCACCTTCGAGGCTTTGGAGGCCTCCATGGAAGCCTTGGTGCTGAGCCGCGCGCGCAGTTCCAACGGAAGTGGAAACTGTAGCGAGGTCGAGGTGTTGCGATGCCATGGGGGGGTTGTCATGTGGGATCTGTGGGGGATTTATGGGGATTCATTGAGATTCATGGGTTGAATGCAAGGTGGTGCCCCCTACTTAGCTATATAAGTTGTTTTTTTTTACTCGGCTAAACAAAGATAGGATTGATGGTAGATATGGCTATGGATCAATACCTATTAATACCATTTTTAGTGGGATGAACATCCATTTACCAGCTATTTTGATGTTCACCAGGGGTACAAGGTTTTGACACATCCCCATATATCGAACTGGTGCATAAACCAAGTGAGAGCAGTGGCTAGCGCAGCCACAAGTGGCTTATCATGGTGATTCGCAGATTCTGTTCATGGGGCTTCTTGGGGTTTCATGGGGTCGGGTTTCAATAGTGGTTTCCCAATGGGGGTTTACTTGGTGGCTCATCCCACTTAGTAAGTAGGTTATAACCCCAGTTATAAATGGGATAAGTAGGGTTAATCCACTTATAACTGGGGTTATAACCTACTTACTAAGTGGGATGAGCCACCAAGTAGAGTTTTTTTTTTTTAAATGGAAATACATCATGGGGCTTTGATGGTCTCATAGGGGTAAAAATCATGGCTTCAATGATGATTGAAAAACGGGGGTTTTTCATGGGATACACTGGACATATCAATTTTTATTGCGGGGATCTTTATGGAAAGATAACGGTCATGTGATATTCGGATTGTCTGAAGATGGGCATAGCATGGGGATTTAACCGGCGACATTGACATTGAAAAACAAATCGCTGGGTTCTGCATTTGGCCACCGAAATGGGCGCCGCTGGTGATATTTTGATGTTTTTTGATATGATGTGGAAGTTGGTCTGAAAATGCGGATATAAACTATGTAAATCTACATTGTACTATCTACATATATAACTCAAAATGGCTAGAGTGAGATAGATAGTCAACCCATCAGTAGTACATAAAACCCAGCTGTTTTGATCTTCCAATGCCAGGCCTTAGTGAGTCTCTTCAAGGCCCAGATGTGCAATTGCGATCCCAGGGCGTGTCGCGCTCAGCTGTGGCTGAAAGGGAGGCTGCCGTGCCCCTCAATTTCAGGTCAACATGGAATGCAGATGATGGCCACTTCCTTTACCAGAGGGTATACCCTCTGGTAAACTAACATAACTATGGAAAATCATCATTTTCAATGGGAAAATCCACTATAAATGGTCATTTTCAATAGCTATGTTAAATTACCAGAGGGTATCAAAACATTCCCATGAAACATCCCCTATATCCATCTATATCCCATTATACCACTATTGTTGTTAGTTTATAGCGACCTTTTGAAAAGATGGAAGGTGAATGAAGCAAGACGTTTTTCACACGAAGCTGCCCTGCCTTGAAATTGACCGCCACTCCGATGTTCAGTAAATCTGGCAAGGCCTTGTGATCTTCCGTTGCCGCCCTATATTGACTACTGAAGTAGTTTATATTATATAAAGATTGGGAACTGCGAGCTGTCCCTTCAATTCATTTACTCAAATGATCACTGCCAATATATGACTTGGTTCATTTCTGTGGCTAAATTGGAACGACCTCACCCATTCACCATGTTTGATGGTGAACTTCGTGTCCTGTCGTCGCGTTGCGAGGCGAGAGCTGCTGCTGCTCTGGCGAGAACTGGGCGCCAGCTGGGGCGAAGTGGCACAAGAAGTGCAGCTCGGTGAGCTGAGCGCCAGGAAAGTGGGATGTAAAACGAGAGGATGGTGCCCCCAAACGTGATGTGAATGTTGGTTTGTACACTCCATGAAAACTAGTTCGTTGTATCTACCATAAACCATAGAATTCAACCACTTTTTTTGCCCCAACCTGCAGGCATGATCGTTGTTGTTGGGGTTGTACCGGTGAAACAGATTG